GTATGCAGCACAGGTTTGGCATGGGGTTCATGTAGTATGTGGCACTGTGCCAGACTGGCCCCACATGCTGGCTCAGGTGCATGGTTCCAGTCTGGCCCAGAGACCACCCTAGTGACCCTTATTCAGCTTGTGGGACCAGGAACCCTGTGATCTGCTGTGTGGAATCATGTTGTCTGGCCCACGAGGCTTCCAATGGGTCCAGATATGTAGTGGCAGGGGAGCAGTGGCAGCATTAATTGCCTTTTCCCTTCCTCTTCCCCAATTTCTGGAGCGGGGGGGGGGTGCCCTGTGGGCTGAATGACCTGGCCCCTGGAGCCATTTGATCCAGCCTGCAGATCTTGGGCACTTCTGCAATTTTTCAGCATTGGGACACAACGTTACAATTCCAGATCTCATTCCACTAGGCAAGTTTCTAAATAACAGTTTATCTGTACACAATGTAAATCTCTCAATCATTTTAAAATTTGAAATATTAAGGGCTCAATAACTTAACGTGTTGGTTGGGTTGGATTATTAAAAGGTATTATAAGAAAGTTGCTTCTGTCAGAGTACAAAAATAAACCTTTGGTTTTATGCATTTTAGTGTCATGCACTGTTTTATATTACAGCATTTCTTCAGTCATATTAGCAGTTTAGAATATTGGCCTATACAGTAAGGAGGTAGTACTGTGCTAATGGGACTCATTAAAAATACCTACAAGTGGAACATGATTCATAGACGTGGTGGGCTCTTCTACACAAGATGCTTAAAGCACAGTAGACTAATTCTACTGCACATTAGTGCAGTGGGCAAAACCCATGCTAATGTGTTAATGTGCAGTAGATTTAGTCTACTTCGCATTAATGTTACAAAAAGACCATTTGTTTGCACTAATGTGCAGTAGTGCCGATTACGGCACATTAAGTTAGTACCTGTCATTACAAATATTAAATTGAATGCACCATAATTATGGTACATTAATGAATGTGTAGATGCACCAGTGTTGAAATACACAACAGTAACAGCAATCTTATACTGGTCCAATGCTTGCTTAAAAAGACAATCAATGTGCAATGCAGAAGCAATCTTAAGACTCTTGCTCCTTCAGCTAAGAGGAATCGTTAGTATTAGAGAAATTATACCATCATTCACTCACAGGAGTGTGCATTTAATGCCAATTTTGTGTACTCTAGTATGTGGCTATATCTGCCAAGATGCCCTCTTGGTTGCATTGAAGATGCAATATTCATAGGCAGCAAGTAAAACTGCTTTATGGGCAAAAAAAGTGGGAGTCTCCGGGGATTTAAAATCAGAGCCCAGAGAAAATGTAAGTTTCAAAATCCTCATTGAAACTAACTTCTAAGCACATCAAAGCCCCAGGCTGAGAAAGTAGGCAAAAGCAAACCAGAGCTCAGGTGCTTTTCCTCAGGCTTTTAATACACCAAGATATACTATAAAGAATACAAATCTTTGTCAATTTCCTAAAAGAAACACAATTTAATAAAGAGCTTTACTACAATTTTATTATTATTATGCTGAAAGCTAGAAAGTAGAGCACACTGGAGATGCTGCCCTGATGGACACTGACAGAAAAGAAAATGGTGCATGGTTTTGGCATAATACTCATTTTACAATTGAATACTTAATATTGTGGAACTATAAAGGTTCAATTTTACTTTCATTGCAGTCAACAGCAAAATTGCTATTGCCTTCACAGGAGGTGGATTGGGGACAAGGAATATATGAGTCACTAATGTTCTAGGGCACTCAGACTATATTGTGCTATTAACATATGGCCAGCTCATATGTACGCCTCATTTTCTGCTGTGAGGAAGGGCACTGTTCTACTGAATTTGTTGTTACTCAAGATTATTTGAATGCACCTCTTGCTACAGAGAAGTTGCTGAGAATTGGATCTACTTTATTTATGTTGTTATATAATGTTTACGCATATTGTTACCCAATATGGAGGGAGCTAAATCTGCTCCATCCCTTTAAATGATTTTCTTTTTATAAAAAAAGCAAACACATCCACACAGAAAGCTGCCAACAAAACATCAACTTGTCAAAGAGTACCTTCTTTCTTGAATGACTTAATTTTTTTCTGTCATGTAATTTTTCCACTGAAAGGAATAACAATTACCTGGTGATAAATGACAGCAAAAGTAGCAGTTAAAATAACACAAAGAATACACACATCCAGAAATGAAATACATTTAATTTTAGAAATCTATACTTTGGAAAGGTTTGCTCTTTGAGAGGAGCCACAAGGAATCAGGCCAGACCATTTAGGAAGTGTATTTGACAGGTCTATAATACAAAGCATGTTTTTCATCTTCAATTGTCATTCTCTTTCTGGTTTTCATTTTGAATTAGCAGCAGGAGGTCACTAAGAATTCTGGCTTGCCTCCATGGACAATATTTTGAAGATCATATCTTTTGCTCCCGTCTTAATATGTACTGTGTCACAATTAAACTATATGCTTTGGTAATTTGAATTTAGTTCACTTGCTTGTTTAAAAACAAACAAGCAAGCAACTGCCTCCCCACTCCTGAACTCAACATCTGAAGCTTGTGCATTTTCAATAGGTAACACTTTAGAAATTAAGATGTTCTATTGATTTTGTTCCCTTTTATATTAATATACATCTATCCAATATTTAAAAAAATGTATATTGTTTGACCATGCGCTGTCTGGAGGGATATTGGGAAAAGGTCAGAACAATGAGGCCACTGGTTAAATCTGAATCCATAAAGTAAACCTTATTAAAACAGTATTTTTAATTACATCATGGCACAAACTTTATTTCATAAATTACCACCACCTTGGGAAATCTCCAAAAAAGCTGAATTATTTTTGTCATCTGGATGAAGATCATTGTTTGGCACATCTACATGTACTATTAGCATGCAGCAGTAAACTCCGGTGCATACCAAGTCAGAGTTTATTGCTCCTGGGTGCGCCATTTGAACGTGTCCCTAGGACTGCAGCACATTGAGCCAGGTCAAAGTAGCCCCAGCTGTCAGAGGGCTCAGGGAGAGGGTCAGCCTACCAACCCGGGGCTGTTCTGACCCAGCTCAACATGTTGTGGAGGGGCTGGTTGGGGTATGAAGGTGCTCCAGTGTAGAGCTAGTCAGCAGGCAACCCTACACTGAAGCACCCCTGTGTCCCAGCCAGCCCCATCAGCATTTGTACATGAGGTGCTGTGGAGTTAAAAGTTCCGCAGCAGAGTAGTACTTGTATTTACAAGTACTACCCTGCTGTACAGTTAATTAATTGCCTAGGGCCTAATAGGGTCGCACATGTAGACGCAAGATGTTTACTGCAGAGCGAATTAGTCTACTCCGTAGTAAACATCTCATGTAGATGTGTCCCTTGACAAATAGGATCTGTATCCAGACTAGCACTTAATTGCAAATACTGTAGGTACATGAGAGGAATACATGTTGCTGTTGGATTTAGGGAAGAAATTGTTTTGGAAGGAGCCAGAGACTACGTGCATTCAAAAAGATGGGCAGAAAGTCATAGAGTTCATTTTAGCACTTTGAATTATGATACTTACTTCTTTAATGCAGTGTGGAAAAGTGTAATAGTTTTGTGCACCAAACTGAAAAAAAACAAACCCTCACACTAAACAACTCCTTTTTGAGAGAAACTAAAACATGGAAAATTTCATGTCAATAATGAAAAATTTCTCTAGATCAGGGGTGGGCAAAATATGGCCTGTGGGTTGAATCCAGCCCACCAGGCAGTTTAATTTGGCCTTTGGACAGATTCCCACCAGTTAATTATGTCCAGCCCAGCCTGCAGCTGCCCCATCTGTGCTCCACTTGGGGCTGAGCACCGCCTACTTCCACCCATCCTTGTGTGCAGAAGCGCCTGGGCCATGACCCCGCCCTGGCCAGCACACAGCTTCCAGTTGGGACTGCTTCAGCCACCTGGATAGCTGCTCAGCGATCCCAGCCTCTAGCGGCTGTTCCTCCTGTCTGCTGTAGCACTCCGGGCAGCAGGTAGGGAAGCAGGGGAAAGCGGCAACTAGATGGAAGGGCGAAGCGGGGGCTGGGGCCAGTGGGAGCACAGAGTTTGGAGTGGGGCCCACATGCCCAGCAGGGCAGTGGCGGTGCACAGCCCAGGTCAGCACAGTTCCATCACACGGGGCTCCTCATGGCTCGTGCAGCTCCTGGCACTTGCGTGTCACTGCGTGGAAGCCCTGCACAATGGAGCCAGCAGACTTTCCTACTCCCTACCACCATGTGAAGCTCCTAGGACTCCTCTGGAGTAGCAGGGAGCCTGCACAATGGAGCCAAGCTGTCTCAGCCTCGCTCCCTGCTTTCTGGCCAAGTCCCGGGACTGCACGTGGCAGCAGGAAGCAGGACCCGGTTGCCAGTTCCATTGCATGGGACTCCCTCTCCCCACTCCCCGCAGAGCACTCAGCTCTGGCTGGGTCTTGGGAGTTGCATGTGAGATGTGGGGAGCCCTGCATGATGAACCAGGCCAGCCTGGCCCCACTCCCTGCTGCCACATGCAAGTCCCAGAACTGGCTCTGCCTGCATTGGCCATAAGCACCACAAAGGCCACCACTTGCTGTTGTTGCTGGCCAGGGGCAGGGGCTGTGTGCCATACAGAGGGGTGGGGAGGCCCCACATACACATCCCACCATACCCATGCACAACATCCACATCTTCCCCCACACCCTCCCCCACAAACCCTACACCCACCCTGCCAACCACACCCCACACTCGATATACAAGAGTAAGACTTTATTTTGGGCTATTATGCAATCACCTCTATATACACGACGAAACACTTGTAAATCAGGAGAAAAATATTTCTTGAAATGAAATTAAAATATGGTATAGTAGATGTTATATGATGGGGTGGGGGTTGGTTCTGAGATGGCAACCCCCGCGCTGAATAGAAGTACTTCTGGGGGCTAGGGGAGGGACTTCCAGTGGCAAAGATCAGGGGTCAGGGGCAGAGCACTTGTCAGGGGGTGGGGCTACCCCTGCAGCCCTCAGCACTTCACTAAAACTCATTAAGCGGCCCTCCAGCTGAAATAAATGCCCACCCCTGCTCTTGACATTATGATTAAGCATGAAGTGGAAAATATACATAAAAAAGTATTCTGCAATCTTAGCTACTTTTGTTGCTACTGCATGAACACTTTCCTGGTACCTACATATTCACTGCAGAAATATAAAAAAATGGATAATTAGGTTATGATTTCCTGTCGTTTCAGAACTTTTTAAAAAGCAAATTGTAATGTTCTAAATTCAGAGCTTACTTTTTTTAAAAGTTAAAATGTAAAAGATTATCTTTTTGATACATGTAAGGGTATGTTTAAGATTTTTATTCAACAGTCTAGAGATATAAACGTATATGTGAAAAATATCATTACTTGTAATCAGCACAATACACCTTGAGAAAAGTGTATTCCAAAAAGGTGTGTTTGTATGTGGGAATTATGGGACTTTTTATTGCACAAATTATATTAGTAAATACACTTGAATGGCAAGGATATTGGATAGCCAGTGTACCTAAACTCTTATATGGTCTTGTTTCAATTTGCATAGTCTCCAGACTCATCTTCCTCCTCTTTATCTTCAGCACGGTCATAATAATCTTCATAATCTGTGTTGTAGCTTGTGATTCGGCTGCCAACAGTAATCTCAAATGCAGAGGATGAACCTGCATAGCGAGACATAAATTGGCTCCAAATTAGAAGAATTGTAAATGAAACAAGAACTAAGGAGACAAACAAGACTTTGGATTTCTAGAAAGATATCTGTTAATTGGATATTAAAATACTGAAAATACACCTTTTAAAGCTCCATTCCAAACACAAGTAAACAATGTGTTCAATCCTGCACATGAGGTTAGCACTGGAGTCAGTATAAGTCTGTAACAGGCAGCATGGGGCTCCTGTTACTTTAAGGAGAGAAACTGCTGCTGATATTGCCCAGGCAGCAGAATATAGGCCAGATGGAAGAAGGAAAGCAATAGAGAACCACTGTTGTCTAGGTAGGGAGCTGCTCATTAGAGTAAAGGGGTGCACCTGCAGCTTTGACAGGAGAACTCTGGTTAAGAACGCCTGTTGCAAAGTTAGCCGCTAGACAATAAGACAGGAGGGCAGAACCTAGCTTGGGCAGTGGGGTCTTGCTAGAGCAGCAGTCACAAGCTGCCATAGAAACCAGATGTCAGGCCCTAAGGAGAAACCCCTGTGGCAGGCCGAGGCACCACCTGACTAGAAGGGCCAGGGCTTAGGCAACTCGTAAGCCCAGAGTCTGAGCCAAAAAGGCAGTCTGGCCCTGCAAGCTGCAGAGAGAAGAGCTCGTAATCTGGAGGCTGTAAGAGAATGCCCTGGCATGCTCTTGGAATACAAGTAAAGTGCTGAAGGCTTGCTACCACGGAGACATGACCCAGCACAGGGGAGAAGTTGTTATACAGCCAGTAGGCTTGGAGTTTGTGTTATAGCCAGAGGGATTCATTCTTTGTCATCATTTAAACCAGCAGTTTGGATTTGGGACTATTAGGGGTTGGTGGAGGTTCCAATAGTCCTGAGAGCATGAGAGTGTGTCTTGAGCCTTGCCAGGGGCTAGGGGCTTGAGACATAGATTGGGTTTGAGTTTTATAGGGTTGTAGCCTATGGAAGGACTATAGCCAGGTAATCCAGCCAGGGCCAGAGGGGCGCAGAAACAAAGTGAGACCAGGATTGGAGCCCGGAAGCCAGGTCCAAAACCATGGGCCTAGGCTACAAGGCCCAGCTAGAGTAAAGGGGTGGAGGCTGGGAAGGCCAAGGCCCCAAGAAGGGAGCATGGCTGAACAGTAATACCTATAGGCATGGCTGTAGGGGAAGTTGGAGAGTGCGAAGAGCCATTAAGGCTACAGGGGCAGAACTGAGACCAGAGGGGTCTGGGAGGGACCTGCTGGCTGTCAAGAAGACGGGACTACTGTAGGACCCTTAGGCATCCTCCCTTTTGATTCTCCAGCAAATATATTAAGGGGTGGGAAGCAAGCAAGAAGCGGAAAGTACTCTGGAGCTGAAGCATGGCAGAGGTTGTGTGGTCACCAGAGGGTATCATGGCTGACCCTGAAACCAGAACTTTGCTACAACATCCCCTTCCAACCAGCATTCATAGGAGCCTCAAATATATTTGTGCGGGGTCAAGTCCAGATTCAGGCTGTGACAGCTGAAAATTATGTCTGTGTAATAAAGGTGCTTGCTGAAGGCTCTATGAAGATTAGACCAAGTGTTTTTTCTGTCATTTGTTCAGATATTAAGCTATATGTTGTTGCTAAGAGCCTAATTAAAGTCTAAAATGTAGTAAGGCCTTTTATGTAGTATGAGGCCTAGTAAATTTAGCAAAGTCTTATAGAAGAAGTGATGGTAGGCCCTGTGGCATAGTTAAAATTAACCGTATCAGAAGAATGCAAGGCTTGTACTGCTATTGGTCAGTCTAAGGACAGTTGAAGTAAAAAGAATCTGAATGGCTGTAAGTTATCAGCATAGCTCAGAAGTTATAAATTGGCTGGCACATCCAGAAATGATTTAGAAGGAAGATACAGCTCTGTGAAAGGCACTACAAATTAGCTGTTGGCCTGGATTCAGTGGGCCCGTGGATCTCGAGGAGCCCAAGGGCTGAATATTAGGGTCCTTCCCGGTATCCCTCGGACAGCACTGATCGGGGACGCCTGACTTCGCTGAGCTTTGTGGAAAGAAAAACTTGTCATACATCAGGCATCAGAGGAAACTGCCGATAAGTTGCCGACGCGAATTATTATTGTCTGTCATTATCTTAGTGTACTACACATAGGCGTGTTTTTGTTAAGTCAATAAACCTTTCTTACCTTTCTACCCCCCAACCACACTCTTAATCCCAAACCCTCTGCTGGTAGCTGGGACACAGGCAGACTCCAAACAAAAGGCAAATTTGAACAATATTGACTGATTCTAGACATGCCAAGTAAACACAGTTGTCATTTGAGTCAGAGGAAGCTTAACCTGCAGAAGTGGACCAATAATAAAAGTGCATGCACTAAATAGAAAGATTACTTCCCACATCTCTTTCCTACACCTCAGTCTCTAACCCTGCTAAAAAAGCAACAACATGTCCCAATTTTTCAAAAAGTAAAAGGCTACATACTTTGCTGTATGAAACCATTTACAGCAATAAGCTGGGAGCAGAATTCCCACCAGATAAGGTTTTTTTCAAGATGATGGAATGTTGTGTCTTGTGAACTTTAGAACTGTGACTTTTTGTCACACTCGAGGAAAAAGTGGAGATTGTAGGAAAACCACATAATATCAACCAATTAACATATTTTTCTTTAGTCCATTTCAGATACACTTTTGACTAAAACTATCTAGAGCTGAACATTTTTTAAAAAGACCTGTTAAGATACCCACATCTTAATACGTCACTTGTAGCTATCAGTTGGGTATTTACTGTAACAAACTGCAGGTTCATTTAAGGGCCAGTTCTTGTGAATTTAAATCTGCAGGAATGTAGACCACCCATGCACTGTGAGAGCAACCAAGCGATACTCACCTGGGGCAGGCCTCTGGCCAGGAGCACGGTCTGTATTGCATGGAGGCATCGATGCTGCGGCGAGAGCTCCCTATCCACCCGCCTGCCTTTACCACCTCAGCAAGTGAGGTGGATTGGTGGGAGCCTGCAGCTGAAGCAATATTCAGGGGCCAGAGATGAGGCAAAATGGGGGAGAGGCTGGACGGCAGATGGACAGAGCTGGGGATCCTGAGATGCTGGGAGAATGCCCTACCGCCAGGATAAGTCTGGGAGGGCGCTGAAGAGGCAGCGACGGCCCCGCTGCAGAAGCGAGTGGTGAATCATTTGCCACCGGCGCAAGAGAGACAGAGACAGCCTTCCCCCCAGCCGCTCCGCTGAAGATGAAAGTTCCCACGCTTATTAAGTGGTTGTGTGCCGCGAATTAAGCCAGACACGGCCGCAATTAGAAAAGAAGAGCAGGGAAGCCCTGAGCCGGGGGAAGGAACCCTAGAGCTGCAGGGAAAAACCCTAGAGCCACAGAGGAGCCTTCAAAGAGCCCCAGAGGATGTCTGGGATGCAGTCCTTTTTTTTTTCTTTTCTCTCCCCCCACCCCAGGACTAAAAGAAAACCCTTCAGGCTTGCACGGAAAAAAAAGAGAGCAAAAATAATAAATAAAAGGAGAAAAGAAAGAGCTGCTTTGGACTGGTTAATTCAGGTACCATCCCTTCTCCCAAAACCTTGGAAGCCGGGTGGAGCTCAACAGTCGGTCTAGGTGGAGGCGGGTAGTCACCACCTCCCACTCATTAATACTTCTTAATCATCAAAGTCATGGCAGGCGGGAAGAGAAAGCACTGCACCCCACCTAGACTGAGCAAACCGGGATCCAGTCATCCTGAGGGGACCGGTGTATGTCAGGACGTAAGAGCACACGTTTCTACCCGGTGGCTACCTGACAGACATAGTAACACATCCTTTGTTGGGTAATTGCCGGTTTCATGCTCCCAAACATCAGCTTACACTCCAAAAAATGGAGGATTTGAATTTCCTGTGTAGGTAACCATATGTGGCATCTAAATCCTGTGTGTGGAAACCAAATATCAGTCATGTACTTGTATATCCTTCATATCAAAATAATTTACCGTCAATAACTTTTAATCTTGCGGAGGCATATGTAGTACCATATTTGTTTTTTGTATGGCAGATGTAGACACCTTCATCTGACTTCTTGAGGCCTTGAATTTGCAGCCAGCCTGTCACACCATTCTTCTGAGGGCCACCTCTTGCCTGAGTAAACACAAACACACCATCAAGAGTGTGTGGCTTTTATTCTAGCAATAACTATGTAATTACAAGTAATCTGAGAAATGGATAAGTACAGACATTATAGAGACACAAATTTCAATGAAATCAATAGAAGTTTTGCTTGGTGAGTGTGGCAGAGCACAGGGTGTGTCTGCCACTTTAAGGGCCTGGAGCTGGCAGCCTCCAGGTGCCTGATTAGGGCAGCCATTTTGGAGACAGCGGCTGCCTATTTAAACAGGGCAGTTTGGCTGCAGGAGGCCAGGCAGCAACATTGCCTGGTTAGAGGGCTGCTGAGAACAACCCAGAGGTAAGGGGGAGCTGCAAGGGGATGGTTAGGAGGCTCCTGGTCCTGGGCATGACCTGAAACTTAACTCTGCTGGGAGTGGGTGGACTGGTGGGGCTCTCAGTGGCGTGGGAGCCCCCAGGAAATGCCAGGCCAGTTACCACCCTGGTGAAAGGTGGGTTGGGGTGCCTTAACCCCTAGCTCCCACCACCACCGGGTGGGTTACCCTTGTGTTTGTTGGGGGGCCCAGAGGGCCAGTGTTGTGAGGGGCCCAGAGAGGGTGGACCCTGAGAGCGTGATTGAGTACAAGGCGTGGGGCTGCGGTTGCCCCTAGGAGAAAGGGAGTAGTGGCACGGTGAGGCCTGAGGATGAGAGTGAGGGGCTAGAGACCCAGCCCGAAGGGAGAGTACCCTTGACTGGCCCAAACTGGGGCCAGGACTATGAGAGTCAAAAGGGCCAGGGGCTCACCACGAGGGATGCCCAAGAGCTGGGGGCCTGGGGTCCCGACTGGCCTGGAGGTGGGCCAGGGCAAGTGGCCAAAGGTCCCGGAGGGACCACACCCAAGAGGGGAACATGGCTTTGGGTGGGGCTAGGTAGCCCGGATGAAGGCAGAGAGGCTGCCTGATTGGAGGGATCATAGAGGGGTCCTGTTTGGATGATTCTGGGGCCCAGTGTGGGGCTGGTGATTAGATGAACACCAAGATGCCATCTGCGAGGCTTGGGCTGCGGTATTAGGGGAGGTCAGAGCCGCAGAGCGCCCCCTGGCATCGGGGCATTACAATGGGTAGCCTCCCGCTTAATTGACATCTTAATGAATCAATTATCATCAAAGTCGTGGCGGGCGAGATAAGCGGGTGGTTGCCCAGAGATAGGTGGGCGGGCCACGAAAAGCTCGGCTCTGAGTAGACCCCCTGTCATGGTGACAGGTGAGCGGGCCACGGAGCTCCGCCCCAGGAGGCCCCCTGTCACAGTGAGGACAACAGAATCTGGAACCGATGCTTCAAAGAGAGCCAAGACTATGACAACTTTGGCGTTATTGTTTCTTCTAGATATACTGTCCTCTCTCATGAAGCACTTGCTAATGCACTGTTTTTGTAAGGTCCAATATGTAATCTTACCATCAGGTCCCTTGTTGAGAATCTACTTATCAAACCACCATAGCCTTTGCAACAGTTTTATACCTTGTTATTTATGTGTAGAAAAACTGGGTTATCTACTGAAACAACAGGAAAAAGGCAGTAATAACAGTAAACTCCTGTGAAACCTCCACCCTTGACCCCAAATTTGACAATATATACCATGGTGAGTGGAATAAGCAATCTACCTGGACTGAAATGTGGGCATCATCTCCTGGCAGAAACATTTTATTCCCTTTTTTCTTCCACTCCAGGTGTGGTATAGGATAGGCTGACACCTCACAGCCAAAAATTATGTCATTACCTGTGAAATTCTCAACATCTTGAGGAGGCAAAGAAATAACAGGAGCTGCAAAAAAACAGGAAGAAAATAATCTTATAGGTAAACATGGTAAGTTTTAACTGCTTTATAACAGAGTAAGGAAAACATCAATATAAATAAAAGGAAATACTTTGCACTCCTGTTTTTATGAGTTGATGCTATAGGAGAGTGCAAAAACAGATTGGAAAAAGTTTGCCGTGCCTTTTGCTGTTTCCATGACCAAACAATAACATGAAGAACCCCACAGGCTCAGCTGGACCTCAGTAACTGCCTTTATGAAAGCTACACCAAATGCAACTATATATCATGCTGCTCTGGCTGGTTTCTGGTAGTTTCCGAAAGGAGGGAACACAATGAGTGTCATTTGCAAGCATAGTGACTATTTAATGGTATACTGTTCCTGTGTCTCTTACCATAATTTGATCTAATTCTTTTATATGGGAATCTATGAATGGCCATACTTAATCAGACTCGGGGCATGTCTAGATGGGCCTCTTGCAGCATCTCAAACTCCCTTGAGACGCTGTAAGAGGCACATGCAGGAACAAGAAAATGTTTCCCGTGCTGAAAATTTGTAGCATGGGGGCAAAATTAGACCCCTGGATATCCAGGGGTCAAAAAACCCTGCAGAGAGAAAGTGGGGCAGGGTGCCCTGAGGCAACCAGAGGCTGGGTCCTCCACAGAGACGCTCTGGCTGCCAATAGTTAGCTCTCGCCCTGGTGCTGAAACATGCTGCCTGCCTGTGCAGGGAAGGCAGCGTGCCAGCAGGGAGCTGGACCCAAGCTCCAGTGCTGGTAAATAAGGGGTGGGAGGGGCTGGATGAGGGAAGAGGGGACCATAGTGGGGGACCCCTGCAGGCCCTGCCCTCTCCCCCAGCTTCCCAATCCCTACCTCACCTGGCCCCAGCCCCCCCGGCACTTACTGACAGTTCTAGCTGCCATCAGGGGTCACTGGGGCCCCCCTGCACAGCACGGGACAGGGTTTCAGCTTCAGCAGCCCCAGCCCAGACCGTGCTGCCCCTAGCTTTCCTGTGCTGCATGGAGGGGGGGCTCTGCCAGGAGGCCCCAGAGCGCCCACAGCCCCTGCTCCTCCGATGAGTAGAATCTTTTTTTTTATTCAGGGGACTTGGTGAGCAAGCAGGGGGTGGTAGCCCCTGTGGGGGCCATTTGGTCCCTGTGGGGGACAGCAAAACATACATTCATGAAAGATATATTTAAAATTCACTTTATTATTATGACAGACACTGGTAGTCTTCCAAATTGCTTTCACACTGTAGATATATCGATAAAACCTTGCCCAACTGATTGTTCTCTCTCTAGTTCTCTAGTGGTCTTTTATTTTAATTGTGGAGGAACATGGATTTTGGGGGTATTGTACAGAATGACTTTGGGATTTTTTTTACCAGGCAATTTTCAGTTTTCCAATAGGGAACACTAGAATTGCTGCTAGGGAGGAGGCCAGTGACACAACCCTGCCTGCTCAGAGCTGGCATCTTGGACCCGGCTGGAGGTGGCTGACCTCCTGGCCAGTTGGGGCCAGGAGGTCATGCTTTGACAGTTCAAAGCAGGCCACGACACCTGAAACACTTTCTGGGTGATACCTGCTCAGATGGCCGGGCAGGGGGCGCACATGGCAGTAGTGCCATACAGAGACCAACTCTGCAGCCACAGCCCCCTGGCAGCTGGCCCAGAGGGGCAGATGGCTCTACTGGCTGTGCAGTCCCCATCTGGATCTGGCAGGGGGGCACGAAGGCACAGCCCCGCAGGAGCCCCAGCAGGTCACAGCCAGGCAGCAGCCCCCGCTGCCAGACTGCTGCAGTGGGTAGAGGGTGCAGGGAACTCTCTCAGGGCTGCTTCAGCAGTCCAGATGGTAGTGTCCCCAGGTACCAATTGGCCAGGCCCCAGAAGCTCCTGAGAGCAAGAAGCCCTGACCTACTTGCCATGGCAGCTTTTTATATTGATGGGGCCAGGACAGGGTAGCTTTTTATACTGCTGGGGACAGCACAGGTGCTGGCCCCGGTCTCTAGCTCCCCCTGGCTGCAGATCTGGGAGGAGCCAGGCAGGCTTATTTTGCCCCAAGTGGCACAACTTGCCCCACACCAAAGTGCATGTCTGGGCATGTGTGCTGAGGCAAGAAGCCCCAGCTCAAATTTGCACTGCTGCCAGTTGAGCTGCCACAAGTGCATGTGCTTGCATGTGTGGACATGCCCTCAAGGTCCACATAGTCCAGGATTTTATCTCCAATAGTGGTCAGTACCAGATGTGTAAGGCAGTAGTGACCAGTTACAAAACAACTTCTCTGTAAAGAAACTTTCTTCCTAGTTCTATTAATTAGAGTTTGGCATGTACCCTACAATTTCTGTTTTACGTCTCCTCTAAAACCAATGTATTCTGTGCAATTGTATTCTGGAAGTTCTCATTATATATACAATTATCCAGTTCTTTTCTGGACACTACAGTCCTTGGAATTTAAGTAGGGACTTGCCCTTACTACTAGCTTGTGATAAAGAGCTCCCCAGGTAAGCAGTGTAAAAGAGTACTACAGGCCACCCCTGCTTAACGTGGTTTCACTTAGTGCTTTTTCACTATAACACTCATTTTAAATTAATACCTGATTTCACTTGGCGCTCACTGAGTTTCATTATAACACTTGCGGTCACCATCTTGGGTCATTAAAAACAATTGTGGTCACCATCTTGGGTTGTCAAATACTTTCGGTTTTTAACTTAACACATGTTTCGTTTAACACACAGTTTTTCAGGAACCAATTAAAAGCTCTAAGCTGGGGTTGCCTGTACTGTATTTTCTCACATACAGCATGTCCCTGTGTATAATATGAACCTTGTTTTTTAAAGGTAGCTTGACCAAAAAATATCTTTATAGTAACTTGAGTAGCAGCAGGTAGGGATTCGAGCCTGCTCCTGTGCTCACTGCCAGCTCCATGTGCTGGATGGAGCCTATAGGCTGACCCTGTGCCCTGGGTCTGGTCTGGAGCCACATACCTGGTCTGACCCACTGTGCCAGGTCTGGAGTTATGCACCAGGTCTAGCCATGGACCAATGCCACATGCTGATCCAATTCAGTGCACAGGGACATGTCATCTAGCTGTGGGGCTTCCCAAGAGCCCAGAAATTTGGCAGCTGGGGGTAGCAGCAGCATTAACTGCCACTTGCTAAGGCTCCGAGAGCCATGGCAATTAATGCTGCCACTGCCACATTTCCTGACTTACAAGGATTCATATTTCTCACACAAAGGTGCATCCCAGTTTCCATCAGCTGGTTTTGGGGGACAAGATTCAGGTTATATGCAAGAAAATAAATTGTTTTCAAGTCAGGTTTATTGTGTGTAGTTTTTTTTTTTTTTTTTTTTTCTTTCAACTTAATTTGATCTTCTTGCATTATTAAATATGAACATTCTCTTTTTTGCTATATCCTTTTTAGACAGAAACAAAAAACTGAACATAATAGTTCAAATAAGACCATAACATTTATACCATTGCCAGCATTATTCTCAATTCTTGTTTCTGTGTCTCTAAATATTGCATTTAATTGTAGTCTTCTGTGCACTATTCAGAAATTTTTTACCTTCACTGCAACCAAATCTCTCTTCTGGGTGCCTTTAGTTAGTTTAGAATACAAGGAGAAAGATATTTAAATCTGTGAGATCACTTTGATGCTGAAGTTTAACTTTTCACCAATGATTTAGACACCAAGAACACTAAGTCTTAGTGAAAGTTATTGGAACTTAGGCTTTTAAATGCCTAAATCACATTAGAAAATAAAAATTAAGTGTTGCAATGAATGAATATACCAGGATTTGATATAAAAATCTACATAGAAAGCTTTCTTATTCATCCATTAGGGTTTTTTTGTACTTTTGAAAGAACTGAAAAAATAACATTTTAAACTAACCACCAGAGGGAGCAAATCCCACAACAAGAAAATAAGAGTTTTTTTTCAAATACCTTTATATGATCTGGAAATGTACTGTATGCATGATTTGTAACTTTAGTAAGCAGAGAAGAAAAACGCCACTACCACTGTTCTTAAAAGCACCCTAATTTTTTGTAATCTAGTTATATTTATCCATAAAAATCCTTGTTTTTTTTCAAGCCAACCATCTATGTTTGTTTTCTCTCTCTCCTTTCTTTGACAGTTTGTAAGAATGGATGCATTTTCTAGGCCGTTTGGTTTGGTTAAGATTCAATCATGGCCTCAATTTTTGTGCAGTATCTCAAAAGCTTGGTGAAGAGAACTTTTTTGTAAATATTAAATGTTTTTGCCTACAATATTTGAGTTAATATGTCCATACAGACTCATGCTTCAGCATCTAGAACTTTAAAGGCAATATTCCAGATTTCTAAACAACAGCTATAATACTTGCTGTCAGATATCATCAGCCTAGTTAGATGATGACATGTCTAATGCAGAGTTGGTCAAGTAATGTATTTATCTATTTTAGAATTACTACTATTAGAATTATTATGTATTTATCTATTTTAGAATTACTCATTCTCTGATTTTTACTTTTTAAACTGTGAGCCTCAGATCTGTCTGGGGCATTTGAACCCATAAGTCCCTCTTCCTTAATGGAATTAGGAATTCAAATCCCTTAGGCAAGTTTGAAAAATATCAGCCTTAACATATACATTATTTATAAGGATTCGGTGAGTAGCTGGGATAAAAAATGCCTATGGATTGTTCACATAGGCCTTGATATTGCAAACATTCATTTGGTGAATTTTACGACTGAGTAGTTCCATTGATTTTTAGTGGGGATAGCCGGAGTAGTTAAGCATATGTGTAAAATGCTAAAATTATTATTTATATTTTTATTTATTGGGTTTACTGCAACTTGTCACTATTCATTATTTAGGTCAGGGATGTCAAACATACGGGATGACTTATTTGTGGCACTGGCATTCTTCAGACTTCAGTTTGCGTAGGAAACAAGTACTGAGCACTGATCTCTAGTTGTGGTATCGTTCTATAAATATAACCTTCACTAAACTCAAAGTACTTTGTTGTG